GGAACATAACTTACATCAAGTGTGGACACACAGCTGTGAAGGATGAATACCGGTTCACAGACTGGACAGGCTCCACTAAAGTGAGGGATGTGCTAGGGAAGGTTGCATGTGCCTGAGAACAAAAGTTAGAGTATAACCTTCTGTCATTTCCATTTAATTTTATTGTAAACCTAATACTGCTTTCTAAAAGCAAAATGTATTTTTAAAAGAAACAAGAATGACTAATTCATATTAATAACATGAGTTAGAAGACAACTCACATCATTCAAAAAGAGTAAATATGTGGAATGTTTTGGTTTTTTTAGCTAAAAGCTGAAGGACACATGATAAAATCCGGGGGAGAAGGGGTGAAGACATTGGAACCAGTTTTCAACGCAAGACAACCTGCTTCAGGAGCTCAGGTCTCACCCTATGCAGTACTAAGTTTCTCACCAGAGAAACTAAAACTTTCTCACTCTTTGCTGGTACCTCATTAGTGTAGCAGCTTTCTGCAGCTGTGTTTAAAGAAATGGATGGCAATGGGATAGAACAGACAAATAGAACAGAATCTGCTTGAATTGTACAAAATGAGGCATGCTATGTGGCTCTTTGGTTTCATATGTAGATATGTCCCTGGTCATGAGGAGAATATATCCGTCACCTTTGACCTGTGGTGCAGGCCTGTGCTGCACCACTCCACTGCTCAGACTTTAGTGGGTCATGGTTCCAGCGGGGATGGCGTGGAGAATAAAAGAATGAAGATCAATGTGAAGATGCTTCTGGGAATTTAAGTGTGTCCTGATGAAACAATGGTTGTATAGCAGGTCATCAATGTGCTTGTGTGTGTGTGTGACTGTGTATGCATGAATGTAGATGCGTGTAGGTGCATGCAGTGTGTGAGTGCCTGCCTATGTGTATGTATGCGTTTGAATGTGTGCATGTCTCCTATGTGTGAGCATATAAATGTCTGTGTGTATGCGAAGAGCACAGAGTAGGGAGACTTGCATTTAAAGCTGTTCCTCAGTCAGATCTAACATCCACAGCATGATCCTGTCAGAAATGCCAGCGTTTCAGCATGTGTAGACACGAGTATTTGGCGAAGAGTCGACAGTGACTCCTAGTCTTCATTTTGTCCACTTGTGTGCACACACTCATCTCAGGGATCCTGTGAGTTTGTGTTGCACCCAAGGTAAGGTGAGTCCAATCTGTGCCCGCTGATGCCTCTGAGAAACATTTGTGAGGACCTGGCATGCTGAGGCACAGCCACCGCAGAACAACTTGTTTAGGGAGAAAAGATGAAGGAAAAGGGAGGGTCAATGCACAGATGTTTTGTTTGTTTTAAGAGGCTGAGAAGTGGGAGTGGCTTAATGCTTCCAGCAGTTCAGTGAGTCAACTGTTCAACCAGGAATCATTTTAAGATTTATCTGTGTAGCCAATTCTTCTCTCGAGGAAAAAAAGGAGTATTTCATGTTTATTCTGATGTTATAATTTTAAATATTTTTAAAGTATACTTTTTTTAATTACACTTTATATTCCCCCATAAGCCCCTCCCTCCTCCCCTCCGGATCCCACCCTTCCACCCCCTTCTTCACGCATGCCCTCTCCAAGTCCACTGATAGAGGAGGTCCTCCTCTCCTTCCTAAAGTATCTTTTTTTATGCGTTAGTATTTTATGAAAATATGCTGAAAGAAAAAGACAACAGTTATAATTATAAGAACACAGTCGTGGGGGCCCCAGACAAACGTGACCATTAAGACTCTGAAGGCTAATTATGTATTCAGCAATGTTTATCCCTAACAGGAAAACCACATACCTCAGCCAGGGGCAAGGAAAGGAAGTGTATAGTGGATGCAAAATGGTACCTGGTGGACTTAGTCCTGACTTACACTCTGTCATTCAAAAAACAACAAAAACATTTTCATTTTACCAAATTAAACTGGAAAGAGAAAAACTACTGAGGGCTAACCATTCCTTAGACAGCAGCCCTTTAAATGCTTGGTTCCTGCTGATGTTATTAAATCTGATTTTTCTTTTAGAAAATTGTGTGCCGTTCCTGCAAGCAGCGCGTAGGGCTTCAACCACGTTCCCTCCTCTTTTTAAAAGACAATTTATATTTCCTTAGGTTTTTCTTTTAGGAAACAAAAGAAGGATGTATACAGTGTAATTAGGAAAATGAAAGATGTTTACAGATTATTTTTCTAATCTTTTTCTTTCATCTTCCGGCCTTGAATAACTAGGGACGACTACATGAAAAAACGTGAGTGGATCCTTGTTACAAAAATCTAGTTAATCTTCTGTGAAAGCCCTCCTGATCTGGATGACAGCAAGCCTCCCTACCCCCACCCCGAGCCCCGCACCTGCAGCAGGCTTCCCTACCCCCAATCCCTGCCACTGTTTACTCAAGGAGGCAGCAAGCCTCTCACTTGTCACTTTGGGCCTCTGGCCTCCTAGAGTAAAATGCAGCCTCCTTAGTTGGGATCCATCTTCTGCAACAAATGACCCTCTAGTCTTTGAGCACACGTTCTGTGTGTTTTCTCCTGGAACTCTCCCCCCCCCCCCCCCCCGCGCCAAGTGCTACAGCCTTCAGAGAAGACACACCCATACACAACAGCTCTGTCCTCTCCTCCTGGGGTCATTCATCTTCCAAAGCTGTGCACGACTTCATACCAGGAAGGTAGCAGAAAGATGTTCAGGATTTAAACTGCGAAAGATATTCAGGCGTGTCTCCTGTTAAGAGTAGAAAATGGCAGGAGGTCCCAAGTGGTGGCTTTGAGGCTGAAGCAGGTGGAGCGCCTCCAGTTCAAGACCAGCGTGGGGTGTACAGAGTAAGATCCCTGCTCTAAACAGCATCAATCAACAACAGCAAAAACACAGGCCAGAGAGGGATGGGGAGGGGAAGGTCGCGAGATAATAAAATAAGAATAATGACGGTGGTGGTAGAGGCCCCCCATGCTTCACCTAAGGGAGCCCAGATGAAAGACCTCTCTTGTATCTAAAGTGTAGATTTCCCTCGTGATGGGAACTCGCTGGCCCCACCCCATCCTCCGCTAATGTCCCCCATCGCTGGGAAACGCAGGCTGGCGGCTAAGAGGGAAACAAGAGAGAATGTCTGCCTTGCCCTGCAAGATGGATTTCCACACACCGTATGGGTTTTCTACGCCTCCAGACAGCGGGTTAACCAGTCGGGCTGTAAATTCTTAAGGTTCTAGTGGCGGCCTTAAACAATAAAATAAAATAAAATAAAATGCCAACATTATCAAGACTGAGGTTAGCTTCAGTATTACCTGTAGTTGGGACGGTGCTTTTCTCTGTGGTGAATACTCGAAGGGTGAACTTCAGGGTCATTTTTTTTTTTTTTAATAAAATGATCTGTGGAGACCTGGCACCATTGTCTGTCCGGGGTGGGGTTGTGTGGGAGATGAGAATCGTAGAGCCCTGTGCAGCACGCCAACCTGAAGGGAAGTGTGTTTAGTTAATTCCACTATTCCCGGGCGGCCGATTTCTCGGGTGAGCGACGCCGGGTGGGGTGAGGGGCTGCAGCCTTAAGAACCAGCCCCCGATCCTGAGGGTAGGGAGGTGGGTATGAGGAAGCCAGGGTGAGTAGCCACGTTAAACGGGAAGCAGAAAAGAGTCTTTTCATTGTCCCCAGAAGAGCCTTAGGTGGGTGAGAGACAAGACAAAGAAAAGCGAGTTTCCAAGGAGCCCAGCAAAGCGAGTCGGCTGGGGCCAAGGCTCCGGCGGCAGCCTTTGCAGGCAAATAAGAAATATCTTTGCTTTAAACGCGAGGGCACCTCATTTTAGCTTTGGTTTGTACCGTTGGGTTAAAATAGCAAATAACCCAGAAGGTGCGTGCTGGGAGCCAGAGCCAGGGTTTCAGGACAAGGCTGCAGGGTAGGAGGGCGTGGGTGGTGGACAGAGTAGGCGGGACGCGGGGGAGGGGGAGGCCTGTGGAGTGGAGCATGGGGGAGGGGCGGTGAGCGGCGATGCTGAGTCCCGGGCCCGTTGGTCCCGTCCCGCCTGAGGCCCCGAACTCCTTTCGGAACCCGCTCCGGAACCCGCCGAGCACCGGCGGCTCCGCAGACCGTTACTCTGGGCGAACCCGGGAAGGCGCGCGATCCGGGAGGAAAGAACGGGAAGGGGAGGGACGGGACAAAACCCTGCGGGTGCGGGGGGGGTGGGGGAAAGGGAGGGCAAGGCTGCCCGGCTCCCGAGAGGGGGAGAAAGGGAAACAGAGGATGAGCCCACGTGCGCGGCGCCGCGCGGTGTCGAGGCGCCACCTTCCGCCGGGCAGCGACGCCGCGCGATCGCGCGCGGGTTTAGGGCGCGACCGGGTCGGGACAAGCAGCGGCAGCCGCTCCCGGTGCCCCGGTGGGTGCATCGGCACCGGGGCTGCGTCCGTCGTCCACGGCCTGGGGTCCGCGCTCGTCTCTCCCGCTCCGTCCGGCGTCCGCCCGGGGGACACGCGCAGCTGTGCGCACTCGCGGATTTCTTTTGAAAAAAATAACATATTTCTAGACAACCCCCCCCCCCCACCTCATCTTTGCAAACTGGCCCGGGGGCGGGGCTGCGGGCGGGGTCTGGTGTTAATAACGGGAGATGGGCGGAGCCGGGGCCAGCCATTGGCTGCTGGGAGTAGTGATGTCACCCATATGACACCCTGATAACGAGTTGAGAGAGAGCCCTCAACTTTTTGCAGAAGAAGCGCGCGCGCCTGGGAGTGCTCGGGGTCCGGCGCTTGCGGCGGCTGCCAGGAGCGGGAGAGTGAGAAATCCAGCGACTGAGAGAGCGAGAGAGAGAGAGAGAGGGAGAGAGAGAGTGAGCGCGGGTCCCGGGCCGCCGCCGCCTCCTCTCCGGTCGCCGCCGCCGCAGCCGCCGCCGCAGCAGGGAACGGGGCCGGGGGGGAGGGGGGCAGCCGCGGACGCGCGCGGCCGAGGACTTTGCAACTTGCCGGGGAAGGTGGAGGGGCGGGAGGGGGAGGGGCGCCCGCGCAGGAGACCGAGCGCCCAGCCCCGCCGCGGACCATGGTGCAGCAGGCCGAGAGCTCGGAAGCCGAGAGCAACCTGCCCCGGGACGCGCTGGACACCGAGGAGAGCGAGTTCATGGCGTGCAGCCCGGTGGCCCTGGACGAGAGCGACCCGGACTGGTGCAAGACGGCGTCGGGCCACATCAAGCGGCCCATGAACGCCTTCATGGTGTGGTCCAAGATCGAGCGCAGGAAGATCATGGAGCAGTCGCCCGACATGCACAACGCCGAGATCTCCAAGAGGCTGGGCAAGCGCTGGAAGATGCTGAAGGACAGCGAGAAGATCCCGTTCATCCGGGAGGCGGAGCGCCTGCGCCTTAAGCACATGGCTGATTATCCCGACTACAAGTACCGGCCGCGCAAAAAGCCCAAGACGGACCCAGCGGCCAAGCCCAGCGCGGGTCAGAGCCCCGACAAGAGCGCGGCGGGCGCCAAGGCGGCCAAGGGCCCGGGCAAGAAGTGCGCCAAGCTCAAGGCGCCGGCGGGCAAGGCGGGCACGGGCAAGGCGGCGCAGCCCGGGGACTGCGGCGCGGGCAAGGCGGCCAAGTGCGTCTTCCTGGACGACGAAGACGACGACGAAGACGACGACGACGAGCTGCAGCTGCGGCCCAAGGCGGACGCGGACGACGACGACGACGAGCCCGCGCACTCGCACCTGCTGCCGCCGCCGGCGCAGCAGCAGCCCCCGCAGCTGCTGAGGCGCTACAGCGTGGCCAAGGTGCCCGCCAGCCCCACGCTCAGCAGCGCGGCCGAGTCCCCCGAGGGCGCGAGCCTGTACGACGAGGTGCGCGCGGGCGGCCGGCTGTACTACAGCTTCAAGAACATCACCAAGCAGCAGCCTCCTCCCGCGCCCCCCACGCTGTCGCCCGCGTCCTCGCGCTGCGTGTCCACCTCCTCCTCCTCCAGCGGCAGCAGCAGCAGCGGCAGCGGCGCCGAGGACGCCGACGACCTCATGTTCGACCTGAGCTTGAATTTCTCCCAGGGCGCGCACAGCGCCTGCGAGCAGCCGCTGGGCGCGGGCGCGGCGGGGAACCTGTCCCTGTCGCTGGTGGATAAGGACCTGGATTCCTTCAGCGAAGGCAGCCTGGGCTCCCACTTCGAGTTCCCCGACTACTGCACGCCGGAGCTGAGCGAGATGATCGCGGGGGACTGGCTGGAGGCGAACTTCTCCGACCTGGTGTTCACGTATTGAGGGGCGCAGGGCTCCTCGGGAGGCAGTCGTGGCGGTCAGGATAAAGAGGAGGGGGGAGGGGGGAGGGGGAGAAGATGCTCATGGTCAGAGATGTGGCGCAGAGAAATTGGAAACGGTGGTGAAATGTTGGTGGAGTTAAAGTGAAATGAGTAGTTTTAAACAGATTTTCCAGGTTTTTAAATTTTTTTATTTTTTATTTTTTTGGTCTCCCCACTCTTCCCTGCCTTTATCGTGTCTCAAGGTAGTTGCACACCTAGTCTGGAGTTGTGATTTCCCCACCCCCACCCCCCCCCCAAAAAAAAAAAAGTTTTTTTATAATTTCTATTTCTTTTTTTTTTTTTTTTTCCTGAAATTCGTGATTGCAACAAAGGCGGAGGGGACCGGGCGGGGGAGGGGAGGAGGCCCCGCTCCGGAAGGCGCTGTTTGAAGCCTGTGGCTCTTTGAAGTCTGAAAGACGTCGGCAGAGGACCCTTTTGACGGCACAACTGTTACTCTAGGGAGTTGATTTTTTTTTTTTTTTCCTTAAGAGATCTAAAAAAAAAAAAAAAAAAGAAAGAAAGAAAGAAAAGAAAAGAACTGGCGATTTAAAAAGAAATACACAAAAAGGGACCATTGCAACCTTTTTTTAATTTTATTTTACTTTTTTGGAGGGAGAAAGCTGATGTCTTCTATGCATCCGATTTCTTAAACTGCAGGGAGCTTGAAAAAATGCAGTCTGTACAAACGCTTACAAAAATCATAACTGTGAACTGACTCAAGACCAGAGTTTACTTTTCAGATCAAATTGTTTATGGTTTTACAAATGTGATTTCTACTTGGCAACCTTTTTTTGGTAACTCGTTCCCTTATACCTCCTTGATTGAATACCTTACAGCCTAGACCTCAGTACAAAAAGGTATTGAAACATTTTTGATACATAACAGACCTCAATCTTTTTTAAAAATTAATATATTTTCAGGCGTATTTTTGTACAGTGAAAAGGGAGCAATCTTGCTGTGTTTTTTCAGTGAGACTTTCAGGCACTTCTTCCCTTTTGATTTCTTTTTCTTTTTTCTTTTTTTTCTTTTTTTTTTTTTTGTTTGTTTTTTTAGCATGCAAATATGTTGGTACGTTATGTCCTGGTTTAAAAGGATTAAAATTTTAAAAGTAATCCTTGCATCTAAAGGCCTTGTGGTTTTAAAAAAAAAAGTAAACTTTTTTTTGTACAGCTATAGTAGAGATTTGTTCAATATTTGTAGGTAAAGATTTATTGAAAATGGTGACATAGACCTCAGAGCTGTTCTTAGTTTAAGACTGTATGTACTGTACCATAGTAGGACCTATATATCTCATGGCTGTGATGTGTGGACGGGGCCCCAGATGGAAGGTTTGAAACTGGATACTCGATTTTTAGCAAAAAGAAAAAAAAAAAAGAGGAAAGGCACATAGTTTAAAATTTTCTCATTTTGTGCAATATAATCTAAATAAACAGACCATTGCATATTTAGTAGCAAATGGTGGCTAAACAGACTCAACGCACTGTCGACATCACCGCCCGGGTTTTTTTGTTTTTTTGTTTTTTTTTTTGTGTGTGTGTGTGCTGAAGTCTGTGTCTTGATTTTAATAAATCAGCAGGATCTGATAGAAGCTCGCATGGACCCATAGCCTCTCTAAGTCCGCCCGGGGGCCGCGTGGCCACGGCGCAGCGGACGCCGCTGAAGGCGGATTCCCTTTGGAGCCCTTAGGCTGCGGTGTAGGTGGCAGGCCCGTGTCCTCACCCCGCCCTGCGTCTCTGCCCTCACCGCGGGTCGCGCGCGGGTACCTCTGTGGCGGGTCCAGGCTGGTGTCTGTCCACAGAGCTAGGCCTCTGCCTCTGGCTTTGCCTTTTTTTTTTTTTTTTTTTTTTTTTTTGTAACCTTCTCCCCGCGGGGCTGCATCGCTGCGCGCGCGCTCAATCAGATAGGAGTGGAGAGGGCCGCGCCCTTCAGGGTTATCCACGCGGGTGGGGCACGAGGAAAGCAAATGGTCCTGGTGGGCGGCTCGCGCGCGGCTCTGGCGTCTGGATGGAGCGTCTGCCTCCCGGGGCCGGGCCAATCTTCCCCTCCCGCCACCCCCCCACCCGCCACTCCTGTCCCTCGTGGGGTCCCGCGCGCGAGCCCAACTCCCCGGGGCCTCGGCGCCCGCGACCGAGGAGCCGTTCAGCGGCGAACTGAAACTCGGTGCCCAACAGCCCGACTCTAGACCCACAGAAACCGTTTACCGCGCGGGCGCTGGCCGCGGGGGCTTGGCCGGCCGGGATCCAGGGCAGGGTTCCACGCGAGACGCGCGCCGCAGGTAGAGAGCTCGTGCCAATCCAGACGCGCGATCGCAGAGCGCGCGTGGGTGGGGGTGGGGAGGCAGCTTGGCCCCCCCCCCCCCGCTTCCCTCGCCCACCCCTCCCCCACGGGGCGCTAGTGTGGGCCACGCGGGGACCTTTAAGCCGCGAGTAATCCCACCAGCGGTTTACCGAGGACAGTTTCTGAAGCCTGTGAAAAAGGCTTTCTGTCTTGAGATCTTTTACATTTGCATGTGTTTCCTGTTTTCCAGCGGGCATTTTCCGTGGTGAGGGAGGAACTTTTAAATAAATTAGAAAGGTGTGAGGATTTGTCCTCAGAATGGAGACATAGCTGTGATTTGTATTTTTAAATTGTGGCCGAGTTTCTTGGTAGGAAAATAAGAGACAGTCCGTGGATGGAGATCACTAAAAGAAAAAAAAAAATTTTTTTTAAATCCCTGTCAGAACTCAGGACAGGCGCTCGGATGCGCTTTTAACAATGTTTAAAGCAGTTTATACGAATGCGTTGTGAAGACCATTCCCAATGAACTCTTTACTGAATGTCTAAGACACAAGGTATTCCTGCCACTGGCTAGGCTGCAATAAAAGTTTAGCTGCGTTTTGTTTCCTCCTAAGTAAGTCTTATTTTTAACTGAGCATTGACAGTATCTTAAAATGGTAACGTGGGCGTGGGCGTTGTGTGCATAGCACTCTAGCCAGTTGGGTGCCCCTGCTCCTGTAACTAGTTCACAGACTCGAGTGCATTTTTAGCGAGATTTTCCATCTTTGAAGAAGAAGAAGAAGAAAAAAAAAAAAAAAGCAAAAATACCTGAACCAGCGTTCTCTTATTAATTCTTTAAGCTGTGGAAATAATTTCCAGTTTCTACATTCTCGGTATGCATCCTTCTTATTAAAAAGAAATAATACGAATGAAAGGCAGTGTGCTTAAAGTGTGCTTTGCAAATACGTGTTATGAATGACTACGGTCACTGGGCAAATTATTTGTAGAATGATAAGCCTTTAGCTAGGGAAAAAAAAAATCATTGCAGCTCTTTTGGGCCTGGATGGTTCTTTTTAATGTTAATGGAGGGGAAGTGATTTAAATATGCATGCTCTTAGCAGTCAGGATCTGACTTAGTTGTTTTGAGAGAAAAAAAATCAAAAGGCAAGGTCTACTTTTTTTTCCTCTGGGAATTGAAACCACAATCATCTCAATACTAGGATGGTGTGAGCAATGGACATTTGTTCTTCACTTCAGAATTCAAATGAGCTTTGCCCAAGGAATCTGGGAAATGAGGCAAATAAGTTGCTCAATTTTCAAGTAGTCATTCTATAGAAATATATTCCATCACTCAGCTTTTTTATTCTCTGATGGGGTATTATGTATAGTCTCACTGTTTTCTCCTAATGGGCATATGTATCTTTGTGGACACTGGGAGAGAGGTTTTCTTATACTCTCTCATTTCTAGAATCTTTATACTCTTTTTTCCTGCGAGGTTCTCTGCTTTTAACAGATTTCTGAGGCAACTATATTTGTGCTTTTTTCTTATGTAGGAAGACCAGCGAAAATAGCTTACTGAGTTGTCAATTTTATCAGTAGATAAGAAACTTTGTTTATTACAGTTTCAGGGAAGGTTTTTTCAGGATATTTCTCAGTTATTCTAAGGGCCAAATTTTATAAAAATTTCCATTAGGAATGTCAGTTTCAAATACCCTTTGTATAGCCTATGGCCTGTGAGGATAACAAGACTGAGCCTTACATGTGTCCGAACAGGAAGTCATAAGTCCCCAAAGTAAACGTCTCCATGTAACGACTCTTGATGTGTTTTCTGAGAGTTGGCTTATTTTAATTATTGATTCTTTCTCACTGTCCATTCTAGTTGGTTTATTCTGCCATATCTCTTTAAGTTTGATGATCTCAACAGTTTTGCTCTTTGGTAACAACTCAGGTTTTGTTTTTGGGTTTCAACGCCCCCTTTTTGTGATGCTTACATTTTCAACCACAGTAAACTGTACTGAAGCCAAGCTCACTTCCATTTCCTTACTGCTGCCTTCTTTTTTCCTCCCAAACTCCTGACATACTGTCATTTTTTTTTCCCATCGTCTTATTTTTTTTTAACACTACCTAGATGCATTAGCTGCCTGATTAGTTTATCTATTCCATGTGGATGCAGTGAGTTTATAAGAGAATTTCACAAACAAGTAGTTTTTTAGTGAACTTAAACAGAATTTTAAAGGAGACCTATTTTTATACTCAATAAAAGCACAAAAGTGCATAAAGTATAGCATGGCGTACAAAGGGAAATCCGCTCATAACGTTCCATGTATAGAAGTAATAATTTTCTTGGATAGCGATATTCTTTGAAGACCCAGTGCCTGTCTGCCTGTGCATAGACAGGATGGTTTCCACACACTGGGAACTTCCGGTTGCCGGCACTTGACAACACACTTCACCAGAGCCACGAAGAGCAATAGGCAGGAGCTGAGATGCGCCTCCTGGCACCAGGCAACCTGGATGTGCACATGCAGAGGCTCCAGTCTCACTGTTTGATCAAACTTCTTCTATGTAGTCTCTTCTGTGAAAAATGACAAAATAAAGCAATATGACAAGTTTGAGAATGCATTTGAAAATAGAATTTCCTCCAGGGTCCTCAAAGAGATTTTTTTCAATGTGATGCTTATTTTAGTAGGCATATTACATCTCCCCTTCAAAAACAGAATGACTGGAAATAATCAAAACATAGCATAAAAAGAATTTTGATCAAATGGATATTGACAAAGGGCCCTCAATCCCATTTTTCTTCACCCAGCTTGTGTTCAAAAACCGTATGCCTCGTCCCCTGAATCACACAGGGAGAAGCGTCCTATGCCATTGTCACGGACACCCCACTTTGTCTACTTTTGCTCTTGTACATATGTTGTGGGTATCAGTCTTTCCCATTTGTTCTGTGACACCTTCGTTT